ATGAAAATGGATACATCGATTCAGAGGTGACTGAGCGAATCGCTGCTGCGAGCAGAATGTTTGAAGCAGTTAAGAAAGGTTTTCTAAACAGAGGTGGAAAAGAAAAGGAAGGTTGTCAGATCGACATTTCTTCCCATTTTAACGTATGGACGCTGACTAAGAAACATCAATCAATAATACAAGCGTCAGAAACGCGATTCATCCTAAAGATTGAGGGAAAAACGAAAGAGACAGAGTATGCAACACCGCCATCAGTTTGAACCTCAATATCAAGCCGGCCAATGAAGTGATAGAAGAGAATCGACTGAGGTGGCTAGGACATCTGCTGCAGATGAAACCAAACAGAATAACTAGCGAAGCCTATCAATCTAAAGTAGTGGGCAAGAGAGGAAGAGGAGGCCTAGAGGAAAATGGGAAGATGAGGTGAAGAGCAACTTCCAGAGAAGAGGTCTTCAATGGAAGGATAGAAGGCGTCTTGTGGAGGACCCCAGAAGGCTCTATAAACTTCCTCCTCACACTGCTTAATGCCATTCAAGAGGATGGATTATGATGATGATACAGACTTTTGATATATTGACTTTGTAATGAATATCCAGCATTAAAGGATAATTTAATTTTATAATTCCTTAGACTATTGGTTTCTAATAAGCAAGCAATAAGTGTCTCTATGGGCACAGCAGTGATATTTAAAAGTTTCATAAAAATTAAGAAAATTGTATTGTGTATAGTTATATTATAATCACAGGAAATGCAATCATAGCACCAAAACAGGTAGGTATCTATGTTCATTAATTTGAATTTAGAATACTCATCTATGGGACTTAATATATGACCTACATTTTGCTGTATTGATTACTATACCTGGTTATACAAAATGAAGACAAAAACCCAAAATGAAAATTATGAGAGAATATGAAGGTACAATACTAGATGTAACAATGCTGAATTAGAGAAACTTGAATAATGAAGTGTCTTTAATTTAATGTTAATTTTAATTGTTCATGGTAAACTTCAAGGATGAAATGTGATATAAGTATTTCTTATGAGATGATTTGGAAAATTAAAAACTTTTTGATATAAAGGAATAAAATAAGAAATAAACCTAATCAGGTATATTTTTTTGTAAATTCTTTTTAATCAGTTAGAGGGACAGGCGGATCTACGGAGGAGGATTTTGGGCTGAAGTCCCCTCTCCAAAATGGTGAAATGTAACCATGTTCTATTGTAAAGCATATTTAAAACATTATCTTTTAAAGTATTATTGTCCGTGTAATTACATAGGAGTTCAAGAATCACTTAAACACCATTTCATATAGGTAGTTAGTATCATCTTTCTCTTTTTCCAAAGTAATTAATGTTATATATATATATATATATATAAAAACTTTCGGGCTGAAGCTCCCCAAAACTAAATTCTGGATTCGCTAGTGGTTAGAGGGTAGTAATCAGTAATGCATTTAAAAATGTATGTAAATATTCAAAAAGTAATTAAAATGTTTACGGGCATTTATTATTCTCCTTTAAATAAGTAATGTATTTTCTGAAGTGGACCATTCCTATAATGTACCTACCTGACTTCAGTTGTTTCTGTGATGAAATATTTTTAGTACTTGAAGTATTGTTCTTCATTTCTAATAATCATAATTAACTTATTTTATTTTTTTTTAAAATAGAAATATAATAAGTTTAAAAAAGTAAAACAAAAAAAAAAAAGAATTAGGCAATGGAATATCAATCTGGAGTCGATTCAATTAGTAATACTTACTTAAACAATTTATAGCTAAAAAAATTTATAAATAAGTCAGTACTAATAATTTTTAAGACAAAAATTTACAGAAAAAATAAGCTATTATTTCAAATTAAAATTCTGATGAATAATTGAATTTAAACTAAATTATAATTCTTATGTAATTCAATAAATGAATTCATAAGATTATAATTTAAATATAAAACCTAAACTTTTGCATTACTGAATTAATAACTCAATATACAATGGGAAGAAATCAATGAAAAATTAAAATAATATTACTAACTGTTAATGACCAACATTAGAAGGTAAAAATAAATGAGACTCCTAGGTACAGACCACGACTTTTTTGAAGAATACAAAATGTATACAAAGTTCAGAATAAATACTTAAGGGCAAAACTTATATCAACTAAATTTTTGTTCTATATTTATATTAACTGTTGAAGATTTCTTCATTTTTTTTTTTATTTGATAAAAACTAATGTTTCATTGAACATCTTAAATAACTTGATGGAAGTTAAGTTAGATCATACCCCTTAATTAGGGGAGGCCTACAAGTTGTAACATACTTGTACCAACAGGCTAGAAAAAAAAAGGTTTCATTGAAGGCACAGGTTTTGAAACCTCAGTGTGTTACGAAACTTCAGATACCTAGTTATGGTAACTATTTATAATGGGGTGATGGTGAATATTCTGAGGGATGCTTCTCCTGTGTGCAGTTCCAGATTGGCTTGATCCCTTCTACTTTGATAGAAACTGGAATGATTGGTGGATGATAATTATGAAAGAGGCTACTTTAAAGAAATATTTCTCTACCGTTCAGAACTGCTTGGGAAATGAAATGGGTTTATCAGGCTATTGGACCTCACAAATAATGATGGGTCTCTCAAACAAAAAAACTATGTAGCTGATAGGTATTGTTGGGATGAATATATAAATAATAATAAGTTGTTTTTACTTGACTACTTGTTGATATAACAAAAAATCATAAATTTTTGATAGGCAATAACATCAAACCCTGAATGGTTACAGAATTCATTAATCACGGTTCGATATGATGAGAAAAAAGTTTGAAGGACTTGAAAAATGTTCCCTTTCTTGCCTCTAGTAACTTTTCAAAAATTAAAAACTTTTCTTCTTCAATTCAATAATTTAAGGGTAATATTTAGAAAACAGGAATGTCAAAATCATAAAAAGTTAATGAAAAAAATAATTTCGTTGAATAATATTAAAGTCAGGAACTATACTAAAGTTTTGCAAAATTCAACAAATGCCAAATTTAAACTTGTTTTAATCGATTCTCATGTGAAATTTGAAGCCAAATTGAACGGTGAAGTTGAGGGTTGTCAAAAAATGATCAAGTTAAAATATAATAAAGGGAAGCTCCATTAAGTTTTCCAAAACACTAACTCCTAAGATCCTACATTTTTTTCAAAACTAATAAATAAGGAGTTTTGAAAAACGGGGTCAATTTTAAAATTCTTACTTCGAAATTTGAATAATAATTATTGTGCTATGTTTTTTTAGCAAAATTTGATGGTGTTTTTGAAATTGAACTAGAGAATTTGAGAATATCAATATTAAAAACTAAATACAATTAGGTTTAAATTATGAAAGCAAGTAACAAACAAATACCAATGTTTATAATCCAAAAACTATAATGCCATCCAACTTTTTTGAAAAGTATAAGCTAACCAACGATTATTTTTATACTCACTTTCATAGACGCAGATATCACCCAATATTTTGAAGAAAAAAAATGAAATCAAAATTAATAATAATTAATTTACATAAATGAATAAAACATAAACTAAAATCAATTAAGGAAATAGAAAAAGTTGAGAATTCTGCCTTTCGCCAACCTTTTTTAAAATTTATGTTGATGTTGCTTAAAGAGTGGAAAAGAAAATGTGGAAAAATGGGAATAAGGATTGGGGAAAATTTATACATCATAAGCTTAATGTTTGCTGATGACCAACCAACTAATCATCGCCCAGGATAAATAGAACATCAGAATAGTCAGAATGGCTGTCGAGAGTTATGAAAAGTTGGGGTTGGCTATTAACTTCATGAAAACAGAGCAACCATCTGATGGCACATCAATTGAAAGAGGTATAAAAACTGTAGAGAAATTTAAATACTTAGGATCAACATCTTAATTAATAGAGAAGGCACATCCACCAATGATATTGACAGAAGAATTGGTGAAGGAAGAAAGGTCACAGCAATACTCAACAGTATTCTTTGGAGCTTGAATATACAGCCCAGTACAAAGAGGCTAATATACAAAGCTATATTGGAGCCAATCAGGACATATGCCTAGGGTCATTGATGCATCCTTGAGTTATCAATGCAAGACACCAAAACAGACTGTTAGCAATAGAGATGAACGTTTAGAGAAGAGCAGCAAGAAAATCCAGAAGAGAAAGGATAAAAAATGAAAGAATTCTGGAAATGATGTAGGCGGTAAAAAACATTTTAGCAAATATTATAATTAAAGGCTATGCTGGTTTGGACATGTGAATAGAGTGACACCTGAAAGATTACCAAAGATGTGTATGAAGCTGGAAGGAGAAGGGAAAAGGGAAGACCGAGGGTAAAATGGAAAGACGCGATGAAAGAAAGCCATCCGGGTCGTGGCATCATAGAAGAACGAGCCTTGGATAGAGAAGGATGGAAAAATATCTTAAAGAATATTTAGGTCAAGAACAACCACAGTAGTGAAAAAATTCTTAAAAAAAAAAAACAAAATGTAGACCAGATGGCTAAGTTAAGGGGTAGAAGTAAATACGCAAATATTTTATGACGCCATATGATCCTATTATTGAAATATTAGTTTATATTCCAAGATAATTATAGTAGCAACATATCCTAGGATTTTATTATTCATTAATGTGCATCCTTCAAGAAGATTTTATCACATTTTCCACAATAAATTTGAAGCATCGGAGAATTAAGAGTTTATCTCACTGCCTCAAACCTTTTAATAAAAATAAAAATAGATAATATATTTAATTGCTTTGTTAACATATATTTAAATATATCTGTACACACACACACACAAAAACTCTTGACTTTTTTAGGGGGAGTCCATCGCCCTTCCCCCAACCAGAATGGAAAGTTGCACCTATTCTCACTCTAATTATGAAAGTTAAAGATGTGAAATAGAGGAAATTTTATAGCCTAATTACTTAAAATTAAGTAATAAATACTAAAACTAAATAAATGTTTAGTTAGCTAGGAAGGTTGTACAATATATTAGAAATGTAATATTGATTATATTATTTATTTGAAATAGAATAACATCCAAAGGAGTTATTTTACAAAATATAAGCTTATTAAGTTTTGGTATAGAAGAGCAAATGGGTGGATTCATCTCATGAAATTGAAAATCTAGAGAATCGCTTAAATAGAAATTACAATTTATTATATAACAAGCATCAATTTCATGAAACAAGATTACAGATTTTAATTTATTTGCAGTTCTATTAACCAGAGAAAAAGTCAGTTATAGATCCAGATCACAATTGAATGAATAAATAGGTCACAATTCAGGAAGGATAAAAGTCATAAATTGAATTTACACGACATCAGCTCTTTACGATTTGACAGTTACCAATATTAAAAATTAACAATTTAAAAAATACTGAGTATATTTACCAAAAGGAAGTTATAACTTACTTCACTAATTCAACTGTATTAATGTCAATGCTATTATAAATTAACATTCACTATAATATAAAATTAGAGCTATTGATAACTTTTAAGTTTGTTTTTTGTGATGTCATAATTTAATAAAATAAACAGTTTTCAACTTTTTTTTTTCTTTTTTCTATTTTACAATAAGATGTATATTGAAAACTCAGTGAAAATACTATAGGCAAATTACAGTCTTAAAACACTATTAATTCAAATAATATATACAAATTTAAATACATTTAAACTAATTTCAGTATTATCGACTGAAATGGAATAACATACAAGACTACAAATATTGAAAAAAAAAAAGTTTAAAGTTTATATCGATTGACACTTTTCTGGTAACCTTGCAAGTTACTGCATATTAAATCACATATCAAGATTAGTTCCCTTTCATTTATCAATGACACTCATCTCTCAATACAGGACAAGGGTTTAGTCTTATTAGCGATTTATACATCAATATTTGTGATTTAATAAATATATATGTATGTATATAAATCTAAGTTTGCGTACACTTGAAATGTAAGAGTAGGAAATATAAGAAGTCTATAAGCCTACACTTAACTTAACGATACAAATCACTTGCAAAACCTTCTGATACAATACAAAAATATTTCCAAATCGATAAATCCAGGCAGATATATTATCTGCTTTATATTGTGCTGGCTCCAGACAGAATTGTCGATTACAAAACATCTCATAGCTAACACTCACATATGTGTAATCACTAAAATAATAAATAAATATGAATCATAATATTACATAAAACAATTAGATAAGCTCTATAATGACTATAAATCTAAAAAATAAACTTAGACCGTTGAAGAAAATTCAAATAAAATTTAAAAACTGATTTTAATATACAATACAGAAAATATACTATCTTTACCACAGCCTGAATGGCATCACTTTCTATGCTTAAGCATTTCTCACAACAATCTCACTACACATAGTCACTTTCAAAGAACTCAAAGCTAAGCTCTGCATCTTAGGTTTTATACGTATAGATAGGCATAAGAGGGCGGACCCTTTAGTGATGAAATACCTAATATAATTGATAAGATCTAATGTATCTGAAGTGCATTGGAGAACTTGATAAGCGCTATAACAGATTAGAATAACATCATAAGGTATTTACAATAGATGCTCAACTCGATATGACCTGCTATGATATGCCTCTGTTATCATTTTGTTAGTTATATTGACAGATTCACTAAATACGAATTGAGCATCGTTTACTTACTGTTATTTAAAACCTCATCTTAATTTTGTTTTCCTCTTTTCGTTGAGCAGAATGATATTGTCGGTTCCTTCTTTGCAGAACAAAGCCTTTTCCCTGTATAAGATCACATTTAAAAAGAAAAAAAAAAATAAGCCATTGAAAGTTTTAGTTGTGAAAATAACTTGCTTAAAACATAGTTGCCAATATATTATTAGTTTAAAAGCTAGTTTCAATATGATGATTACAACATTCATATACAACTTATCCATTATGCATACATAGACCTACAGCTAGACGTACAATGACACAAGTGGAAGGTAAAGTTTATGAGGGAACATTAATATAGATACACATATCTTTTCAAACATAAAAAATATTTTTTAAAAACTAAATGTAAAAATGCAAATATTTTTACTCATTTTTTTTTTATTTATCGACAACACATTTACATAATTAGGTGAAGAAACAGTCGAGAAGAACATAAGTGACTAAATAGAAAAGGTCAACTGATGAAAGGTGAATCCAATCTGACTAGGGCATGGGCCAGGTGCGGAGCACGCAAGTGTGGAACTCGGCTGCACACAACACACGTGTAACCTACAACAGAAGAAATGGTAAATCAGAAAATAGTCATTAAATAAAAAAAAAGATTTATATTAGAAGATCCTTAAATTGTACTATGCAAGAGTGGTACACCATTATAACACAGTTTTATAATTAATCTAAGTAGCAGATAAGAAAACAATACAGAAAAAGGTATTATGAAATTAATTTACTAACGATGCAGGGAGCGGGGTAGCTCAGTGGTAGGGCACTAAGCTTCCAATGATGCTGAATGTCCCAGATTTGAATCCCAGCCTTTACAAAGTGGGTACCTTTAATTAAATAATTGATTAAGAGGAAAAATCTGGCGGTTGAGGAAAAATCCTGGTCCGATCCGCTCCTTGCACTGCTGTTGGTCTTGAAACAGAACTTTCCCTAAATAGTACTGAGCTCAAGACCCTTCATGGATTGTAGTGGTATAAGTTTTTTTTTTTTTTTACTAACGATGTAATGAAAATCCAGAAAAAAAAATAATAACATCATATATTTTATTCTTGACAAAGATATATTCCCCCTCTTCCCAATTTACAGATAACATTTTCAGAGGATAAATTTTAAAAAGGACAAAGCTTGTGAGTACATATAAATGTGTAAAAATAAAATAAATAAATAACTGTGCCAGTACAATCCATGAAGGGTCTTTGGGTTCAGTACTATGTGAAGAAATATTGTTACAAGGCCAAAGGTTGTGTAGAGGGGCGATTGGGACAATATCACGCTCAACGCCAGGTTTTCCCTATAAATTAATTATTTAATTAAGATTACCTATTTTACATAGGCTAAGGTGTGCCCCAGGAGGGTCGATCCACGGCTGATGAAAAACTACTAGGCGTCAGCCAGATTCAAACCTGGGACCTTCAGCTCTGGAAGTCAGTGCTCACCAATTGGGCTATCCCACTCCATATATAGGTGAATATATATTATACTCTTATATTAAATAATTCTAATGAAATTATGGAGGATAAAGGAAAAAAAAAAATAAGAGAATCAATTTTAATATCCTTAATACCAGTAAATATTCCGAAACGTTGGCAACTACTAACACAAAATTAAAGTTGGTGCCTGCGCCATTTGACTATTAACTTATTAATCCGACCTCACATAGAAAAAGATTGTTGACTCCTGAACTATAGGAATCACAATACCTATAAAACTAAACAAAAATATTGTAAAAGGTTCAATCATTCGACAAAAAGAAGTTGCATTAGCACAAATTAATAATAATCAATTAAAATTTCTGGTGACCTACGTTTTGAGAAAATCAATTATGAGACAAAGAAGAATTCTAGTGTTTCTCTATGGGATATGGATTTTCAACAATTTCAGAAAGTTTGTAAGATATATTGGCTGAGTTCCAATATATTCCAGAAGAACTCAAGTGAAGTTTATTATCCTATAAAAGAATTCTGAACAACAGTGTTATTTCATAATGCCAAGGGAAGAGAGCAGGAAAAAACATTACACAAAATATTTCCTGAATCATAAGTGACCAATTCTAGAGAATCATTAGGCACAAGAAGTGCTATCAACAAGAGATTTCTATTGAGATCGGTCCATTAACATCCGACCCACATTACAGGTGCATTGCAGTGTCATCTACCATCTACCATCTGATCATCACAGACACTTTCATCTCACCATCTCATCACAGATATTCAGATCTAAACAGATAGGTCTTATCAGGTCTAATCATAACAATAAAGTGTTTGACAAAATATATACATTGAGCTCTATAGGACTTTAATGAATGCCTTGGACCCAACAATAAAAAAAATACATATAAAATTGTTTTCGTAGAATAAACAATTATTGTTTTTCATATCTTAATAAAACTAGAGGTTACCCATAAAAGCCACTAGTATTGTTAATTTTTCAAAGAGCTATTTCAAGGTCCTTATGTTATTAGGAAGATATAACTTTAATATGGATAAAAGTAAACTATATCTAATGTCATAAATGGAATGGGATAAAAGCGAACTATAAGGACTCATAGTCCTTTACTTTCTCCAATAATAAAACATTCAACACAGAGGCACTATAGAGTCACATATGAATAAATTTTTCATTTTGCTTATTAACTTATAAATTTTTTTGCTATAAGAGGTACCTAAGGATTGGTGGTGGTGGTCTGAGATGGTGGGGGGAGCATAGCAAGTGTCTCAGGGGTGGCTCCAGCCCTCAGGGTCGCGTTCTCAGCCTCCAACTGACCAATCCGCTCCATCAACTCGGCGATCTTCTCCTTCAGCACCTCCACTTCTTCTCGCACAGCGTACATTAGATGAGACTTCACCAGATCCTTAAAAAAAAAAAAAGGTTGTTAATTTTATCTCTTTACAAAAATTGATTATAGAATAATGGTATTGACCCAGTAGGTAGTAATAATAAGTTACAAACAGATCACATGTTCAATTTAATTTTCACTTGAATAACTGCTACTAGGTTGAATGATTCAGCCAATGAAACAGTCAAACCTCTGTATATCAATCATGAAGGAATCTTGAAAAATTGGATAAATAGAAAAATTGCCAATTTTTATCCTTATCAAAATGAAAACAATTATAATTGTTTTAAAATAATTATCAAAAGTAATTTTTTTTTTTTTTTTGCAAAATAGGACTTGCTTTTACAAGTCTTAAAGGAAAAAAAAAAGTTTTAACGATTATATTTGTTTCAATACAACTTCATCAATTTTATCAAACGTTAAGGATTAAATCATTTCTGATCTACTGAAAACCCCGAATCATTGCTTTTGTAGATTAAAACTCACAATAAAACATTCATTACAAAGTTGTTGTCACTAAGTTCCAAAGAAAAGCCAAATTATAAACCAGTATAAGTATTTTTTTCATTTGGTATTACATTTATATATTATTGCAGAGGCACTTAAACTCTTACCTAAGATAAAGTAGTACTGTTAAATAAAAATTTTCCAGATGGGACAAGTTTGCTACTTTTTAATTCACAGAGAATAATTGAGTGACTTCTCACTTCTCAAAACATTCATCTTTATCAGTGGTTAACAAGACTTGATCAGTGTTATTATTTACAAATTAGAAAAGGAACAGGAGTTTTTGGAAGTCTACAAAAGTGTTGTACCCTGCCATTCATGGATCCTTTAATAAAAAGTATTTGGTATTCATCAAATAGCATAATAATCTTTTTTTTAGAGTTAATTTACACTTCATTTAGATTTAATATTACACCTTGACAATCTGATACCGAGAAGCGTCATGAGAATACTTTGTGAGTGGGAAAACTTTGTCAAATTGTAATTTAATAATTTCCTCAAATAATTCTGTGCCTTTTATCAAATGTGTTTTTTTTTATTTGTTGAATTACACAGATGAATATCCTTAAAGGATCAATTTGTGAGGATGCAGGTTTATAGAAGGAATCAACTCAATTATTATAAAAAAACGGGCTATCCATAATTAAAAATAGGTGATTTATCTAGTATATAATAATACTTAACTTGGAAAATTTACTTTTTCTGATGAAAATGTCAACATTTTTTAGAAGTTTGAAATATGTGAATTTAAATTTTTCATCATTCCTCATTTCAATATTCATGTTATTTTCTTTACAATCGAGTGTTAATCTATTTTTTTTATAATGATTTTTAATTTTATATATATGTATTAAACGAATTTTAATACAGATGGCAAAGTTACCATATTTCTTAGGTTAATTCAGAGCTGTTTTCAATTTTTTTCGGCGTGTATATGTTTACAATCTTTTCCCAGATTATGAAAAAAATATCAAGGCTAATGTTTTATGATAGTTTGAAGAATTTTATATGCATAATTAGTTTACAAAGTAGTTGAAAGAAGAATTATTAAAGAAGTTGTCTCGGTCGACAGTATGTATAATAAAATGTAACAAACTGTTATCTAGAGGAATATATATTAGCCCTTAAATATTGAACTTATAAAGATCAAATTTTGAAGATTTTCAAATTTTAAATTAACTTTCCGTCTATCAAATAGAATTCCAATATATCAAATAGAAATTCTTCAATTAAAAAAAATATTCAATATATACGAAAGATTCACAACTATAACATTTATCCTTCTAAAAATAAGAAAACAAGATACTACACAATAGAATATTAAAAACTAGTTTGTTCAAAAGCAGTATATATTAATTTTTATTTATGTTGAATTTTAAATATATAAATTTACACATTAAATTTGTTCAAGAAAATTTTACATGCATATTCTACATGAAAATCATCCAGATTATTTTAGTAATTAATATATACACAGTGAAAAAAATTACAATTTTTTAACTCATGAAAATTTATATATTTACATTTCCTTAGTATTTAAAAAAAAATTGAAAATGAGTAAAACTTACAAGTTATGTTAAAGGATATAGATATTAATGGATTGATTTAATATCATCATACTAATTTCTTAAAAATAAATTCAACGCACAATGATAAACTTGATACAAACAAATTTAAATAGTAAAAAGTTTAAAAAGAATAAATGATACAAAATGGAAAAAGGACAACTGGGAAATCCTCCCTCGACCCTTTCACTTACCTACCAAATCTGACAGTACTTGAACACCCTCAGTGCTCGAACCACGGTTAGTAAGAGAAAATATTACAAATTTGTATAAAAGGATTATATACATTATTTTTAGTTTGTATAACTTTTTACATACTTCATTTTTAATATGTGTTTTGTAATATTAGTTAAGATTCATGTACCATCAATTACTATAGTTTAATATTTATTATTATCGGTTGTATAATATTATTTCTCTGAATGTATTTTAAAATTGTCAGCCCTGATGATGACCCACATGTTTGGATTGAAACATCGGCACAAATAAAAAATTTTAAAAAAATTTACAATGACTGCGTCCTGAATATTTATCACCCCCCCCTCTCCCCCCAAAAATGATACAATGTACATTTGTTGAGAGTTAGTAACTGAAAACTAACTATTCAAAAATTAAAAGATCAAAGTAGATATGATTTTATCAATAATTGGAATTATTGATTTGTTATTTCCATAATTACATTTAGCAATTTATGCAGATTTCAACATCAGAAACAATGATTGCACATATAAACACTTATGATATTTGAAATATTTGTTGTTTCTTCAATACACGCAGTTTAGAATTTAGCTATAAGTATACACAAACTACTTTCAAATACTGCAAGCTACGTTTATAACACCAAACATTTGAAAAATATAATAAATATATTGTAGAGATTTTACAGGTGTTTATTGAAAATTGTTTATTTGTAACATTTATTTTTGGTTAATAATCACAAATTGTAATAACTAGTTGTTATAATAGTTTTGAATGTCACAAATTATAAAATAGTAAAAGTTATTAAAAAGATTTTTTGCCAATAAGATTCAAGAGAATGATCTGTCTTTGTCTAGAAGGTTCTACAAGTTATTTAAACACCACCAGACTGGTGCTCAGGCATCGAATAATGTATATTATATAAATGTAGTTAAGAATGTTAGGTGAGTTCTGTTTTAGTCAGTTGGAAGTTAACTCAAGAGTGAGTTCTTTGGTAGAAAAATAAGTATGAAGAATTATCAGTGTTAAGGTTATATTGATATGAATATAATTTGTGATGATGTGATTAGTGATGTGAATTTAATTCACTAATATTGTGAAGCGATTATTGTAATTATATTTCTGTCAAATACTAGGCCTCAGGTAATGATTGCATTTCAAAATAATAATTTGAGTTATAATTCATGGATCTCATTTAATTCATTCATTTAAGGTGCAATAATCGATAAAATATGAAATTTAGGTGTTATTGTTATAAAATTAAAACTGCCTGAAAATGGAGATCTACTTTATTTCTTTTCCTGAAATAAGCAGTTACTGTATATTAACTTTAAGCCACGATAGATCACTTTGCCGTTTCCGATTAAGGTACAAAGGGTAGGGCATCACTACTACCTTCCGTCAGTGTGAATTGGCTCCAATAGACTGATAGGTTTCACATACACAGGAGAGGTAGGATAATTGCCAAGATAATCATGGATTGAGTGGCTTTCTCTGGTGAACAGTCATCCATCCAAGGTTTTAAAATACTTGATGTTGCTAAACTTGATTACCTACTCCCTTATAACATGCCTTATGCATTTATAACATGAATTTTTTAAAAAAATTTTTACACTAAAAATTAAGGAATATTTGAGATAAGATAGAAAATATACTGGGAAGAGATTAAATGAATAGAGATATGTATTTGGTCTTCAACAAATAATCTGCAAACCACCAAGATAATACAAATTTTTGGTTTAACTGGTGAATATGATAAAATATAGAACAATGATTTTCCAAAAATATTACATGCGATTAGACGAATTTTAGTACTACATCAGAGATCTGTGGGAAAATTCTACTGTTTCAAAACCCACTTAAAAAGATCCAATATCCTGACTTTCAATGGAAAAATAATTTGTTTCAGAGACCAGATGAAAATCAAGTATTCTAAATACATTCTGATTTATTATACATTCCGATTAGGTACAAAATATAGTGTCACAAGACGGTCTAAATAGAACAGACAAAAAGGAATATTAACTGCTACATAGATAGACTAATAATAATCTGGGTATTCAATATGTATGTACCTGAGAATGTACGTTATATGGGTGCTTTCATTTATTTAAGCGGATTGTTTTCTCTATCTGGCTGAGTCAAACAGAATATTTGCTCGAACCACGGTTAGTAAGAGAAATTAACAAAAATTTTTATAAATGGATTATATACATTATTTTTAGTTTGTATAACTTTTCACATATTTCATTTGTAATATTGCATATTGTAATATTAGTTAAGATTCATGTACCATCAATCACTATAGTTTATTATTAACCATTACTGGTCATATAGTATATCTCTGATTGTATTTAAAAAATTTTCAGGCCTTATCAAATTGACCCACATATTTGGGTTGAAACGTTGGCACTAATAAAAACTTTATAATGAATGCGTCCTGAATATTTATCACTCATAATAAAATATAAATATAAAAAAAGAGTTCAAATAAGCTTACATAAATATAAAATTTATCTCTATTTAATTATTAACCAAAAAAACTGTAAAGTATTGTATTTTGAGATAGTGGCTGGAAAGGCAGCATTATCTGTCATGCCTGTACTAAAATTCTTGCAGATTATATCTCGGCTAGAAATGGATTGTAAGGCAAATTGATCATGATCAAAGCCTGGATTTTTATGCAATGAAAATCCACTTAATATGCTATATAATATGCAATAAAAAACAGTTAAAAGATGCACTAATAAGGCACCAAATATGCAACAAAAATGCAATAATATGACTAAATTATTAATATTAAATTACACTAATTAGCCTAGAAAAAGGTCTTGAAGAAAGATATTGAAAATGAAAAAAGATATTGAAGAAAAGATATAATTTTTAAAATAAGAAAATGATCTTTATACATCAACAGCAGGGATAAGAGAAAATTTATATCCACTTAAAATTATTGATTTGTTTTCAAGGGAAACCTGTTTTGAACAATAAAAGCAAAAACGATCTTTACAATGGGTTTTAAACACTGCTTTATTTTTGGAATTAATAGCCTAGATCCAATATTTCAATTTCATAAAAAAATTATGAACTTTAAATAACCAAAAATATTACTGCTAGTAAAGAAAGTAGGAAATTTAAAGTAAGCATAGTGTTTGGATGTTTAAAAGGAATGAGAAGGGGAGTTAAAAATGCAGGAAATGAAAAAAGTCCATATTCTCAGGAGTCAATTACTGATGGTGGTGTTATCATGCTAATTTGTAGTCCTTGGTTGATTGAAAATAACCTATGATTGTCATATGGAATATCATATTCAATTCTGCATTTTAATATATTTTTTCTAATCATTATTTTTTATTTTAAATAATTTAAATATGCAATTATATGCATTTACCATAAAAGATGCAATATGAAATTTTACTAATAGCATGTGAATATACTAATTTGTAAAGATATTCGATCATCAGTTTATAAACTGCATGAAGACAAAACATGCAATTATATACAAATCTGGGCCTTGATTAAGAACAACAACTATAACCAGCAATTGCACCTTAACCAGAGATTGAGCTTGATCAAGAATATAGTAAAGGGCTGTAAATTCTTGAATAAAAGTTTGAAAAAGGCCCTTCAGAATAATATTTGAGTTGCATAGGGAACATACCACAGAATGAGTAAGCAGATAAATTGAGCAGAAAGGATACCGAATGTACATCAGAAGACCATATACGAAGTACTTGGAGCTATTCCAAAAGAAATATCTTACCAAAGAAGATGTCAAATGATCCATGCCTTTTTATTGTAACTCAAGAAAAAAGATGAATTAATGGATTTTATAAGGAATTAAAAGTATAATTAATAATTATAATTCTTATAATTATAAAAATAGAATTAAAAGCCCAGGCTATGCCACTTTAATGATTCTGAAAGCATTCTTATGATCCTTAAGAATGGTAAAATTATCAGACTGCAAACTAAGAGATGAAAATGCGCACTAAATGTTGTATTGGTTTGTTGTCAGTTAGAACACAGTTTCTCTAGTTCAGTTATCGGTTATTGATATCAAACATAGTAAAACAATTAACCTAAAAAAAAAAAGTGCTATCCAGAAGAGAATGAGATGCTTTATGCTGGCAGGGTACAAATGAGGATAAAGAAACACAACAAAGGCAAATCAGAAAGCAATAATATAGTAATAATTTAAAAAAAAAATCTTTAAATTAATTTATTTTCTTGAATAGTAATTGAAGGTGACAGAATGATAATTAACTTTAAAAAATTGAATGAATAAGCAAAATTATTTTTAATTAAAAAAGAAACTGAAGTATCAGATCAAAATAATCCTAAATTAGGTTTCTGATAAAATAAATTTAGATGAAATATCTAGACCATTTTCTGAATCTTATTCTGACAGTAGTATTTATTGTTCATCAACTTTTTATTACTTATCAATAATCAATTAAAAGTGGTGCTATATTTACCGAGTAATTAATAATTGGTAAAGTAAATCAATACTAAATATTCTTAATAAATGTTGCTACTCACCATCGCTTGCTCAATCTTATTATCGATAGCAACTGCATTGGCACCGGAAGTGCTGAAACAAAAATAAATATAGTTTATTTTTCAATCATCAAAATAATTCAGTTTAAAAATAAAATATAATTGTCAAAAGAAAATTTAATAGAACACTACATATCCAGAGCGAAAAGGTTTGGGACTGCTGCTGAGGAATATGAATACAATACGGAAATTATAGTTATAGAGTGAACATAATTAATGGTATAATTAGAGTTATTAAGGCATAAACAACAATCTAAAGAAATAATCTTTAAAAAATTGAAAAACTTTAATTGCATTTTACTAAAGGTCACCTTTTATCATTCTGGATTTGCAGTAAAACTAGGAATTAATACTAAACATTAGTTTATACCAACTAATCACCACACCAACATAACATTAATGTGTATTGATATTAATATAGCTGTAATGCCACTAGCCACTATTAAAAGACCATGCAATAAATGTATGCGGTTAAAAATAAAAAAGGATTTCAATACATAATAATGAATAAGTGAAGCACTGTAAACTATTTTAAAAAAAATACTACATTATTCCTAGATATGAAATTAACACTGCTAAATCGCAATAAAAACAAAATGCAAAACTCTTTCTCTTGCCAAGAGTTCAGTTTATGGTGTTTATTTATATGGCACCAACAGATTGAGAAGATGGATAAAAGAATTATACTTGAAAATTGTAAACAACTGTTCATATTAAATCTAAGGTGTATTTTTGGGTAGTTGGTAAAGATATTTTAAAAAAAGAGTCGATTAGTAAGGTACTGAGTTCCTATGCTCTGAACAGGTTCAAACCCGGTTGTGGCAGGTAATAATTTAATCTGATATATCAGATCCGCTTCTGTTGGAAGACCTTCCTAAGGCTTACCCAGCCTCTTTAAAGTTTGTACTCTTAATTAAATAATTAATTAAGGGGAGAAACATGGCAGCTGAGCGTGATCTAGGCCCAACCTCCTTCCTGCACAACTATTGGTCTTGAAACAGAACTTCATTACAAAGTACTGAACCCAAGACTCTCCAGTTTTTTTTTTTTTTTTCAATCAGTTTATTTATTTCCTATTCCAAATAGATTCCTTATAATATTGAACTATAAAATATTGACCCATCATTCAAGCAAATATGGTGGATATAATTTAAGCATCCCATGCATCAATTTTTATTATAGCTGCATGACTGTAGGCGTCATAATATACAATAGGAGTAATGAAATTTCTCTCATTCCCAGCATTTTTTCTTGAAAATTTTAATATAGGATCTGACATTGCAATTTAATTAAATTATTTTTTCATAACTCTCTTCTTATTCGTGTCACTGGTTAGCTATAAAATGTAATTAAAGTCTTCCAAATACTTGTTTTTAATTGGAATTTAGTTTCTTTAAAATAAGAACTCAATATACCAGTATGTCATATACAAATTTTCAGAACTATTTACTACCATTCAAAAACAAAATGATCTGAACAATCAGTTATTTAAAACGACATATAGCTTATAAAAAATGTATTCACTTGAGAGAAGTTGAGGATAAAACATTAATAATGCTTGAATCATATTTCAAGTTTGCTATCAAGAACCAATGTAGTACAAAAATAATAAGAAGTAAAGAGTAATTGAATTACTTGTTCACAAATAGGGAGACAGTACTTATAAGTAACAAGTGTCCCATTTTGATTTATTTTTAGCAGTTACAAACCGTTAATGGCATCAAATGGTTAACAGTCCTTACAATAAATTAATGCAATTAGATTTAGTTTAAGGCTTGAGGAGAGAAAACAAAAATTTTCAATAAAAATAAATTGCATACATTTTATACTATAAATTTATAAAAACATAACCTTTAATATGAAGTAAGTACAAGTAAGATAATATATCTAACCACAGTGATACAATCATGTGGACCCCTTCACCCAGTACTGAAACCTCACCGGCATAACATAGTCTTGTCATCGACTGAAAAACCCGATTTTCGGTAACTTTTACTTACATTAAATTTAACAATATTAATATTTATTAATTAAAATTATTAGTTAATAAATATTTCGAACTTTATTGATAAATAAATGTATAAAAAATAGCAGTTCAAATAGATTCAAGTGATAAAATAACAGTATAACTGGATTTGTCGAAATAAAAATCCAATTATGTATACGTAATAATTGCAAAAATGAACGAAATGTCAGTAAATAATTATAAGAGTATAAATATTTCTTTCTTTTTAAATCATAAAAAAAATTGATGGATCGGAGTAAAATAAAATTAGAAGACAAATGGAAGGAAAAAAGAAATAATTTCATTACCATAAAATAAATTGAAATTTATTTTATTTTTAGGTACAAATCACAAATTATTTAGTTTGCTTTTATGTAATCTATGTATTCGATTATTATAAAACAAAAAGTAAGTGAAAAGAAAATACCGGCTCACCTGGTTATAACCATGGACGAGGAGGTTTTTTCTTTGAAGTCTAGGGTTTCCCGCGACTCACTGACAACGAAAATCCATAAACGGAATGAGGTGAAAGTGGGCGCCGAGTACCGCGATCATCATTAATTCAACTCCTATCGATCATATATCGATACTTGACAAGTGAATAATGGCGAAAATCGAAACGGTCACCGACCTATTCTACTATTCGTACAGTTATATTTTAATACATATAAATATTAATGGTAGGAAGCAATCGATGCACAGCCACAATTTCAAGATTTACGACAGAGTATTTGCTATAAAGCCGGAGTTTCACAAAATCCATTGTAAGTCGTAGTTTAAGTACATCGATAGCATGATTCGAACTATCATATCGAAAAATCTAATGAATATTATTAAATAAAAGAGAATGGTAATTAATCAAACGTAAAATTTATAAGAAAATAATAAATAAAGATTAACAAACTTATGGCATCGTGAAGGTGAAAACTGCTACCTAAATAAAGCGAGAACGTGTGAACGAATGTAATGTTAATCGTTAAATAGTAATCATGAATCGAAAATAAGTTAACTGGAGTTTTCGGTCAATGAAAATATATAGTAAAAATAAATAGTAAAATAAACTATATTTCTTTTTATTTCCTTTGTAATGACGTTTCGGTCCAAATTTCACATCTTTATCAGAGCTAAGCAAAGACGAGATGACATATAAATATTGAGAAAACATAGAGAGTAATAGTGATAAGATGTAGGTTGTTATAAATATGTGGAATGGCAAATATATCATATCATATAAACTAAGGAAGTATAGTATAAAGTAATGTTAACATAGCTGATAATTTTAAAATAGCGGTAGCAAAGTTAGGATGTATAAGACAAAGAAAACACAGTTAGAGACTTAAGAAATAATGGAACAAACTTAGTAAACCTTAAAATAAAGGTAATAAAGTGATGTAGTAAACTATAATAAAATAACGGTAATTATATATTGTTTCAAAAGTTTCGATTGATTGAGGAGTGTTTTGACATGGAAATATATGTTTAAAAAATCAATTTATTTATATATATATATATATGATATAGGGAATATTTGGGGAACCTTTTTTCATCATTAGAGGCCGCAGTAAGGTAAGGAAGTGCTGATAGAGGCCTCAATAATTTTTTATATTTTACTGTTGCTATTTTTATTTATCACTAAATACACACGCCCACATTCAACCCGATTTCCAAATTTTTATTACTTAAATAATTAATTCTAGCGCCAGATTAATAAATATCGGGCAAAAACATTTGGAGGGCGCAGTTGTCACAGTGGCCTAGAGGCCGTAGGCAACCCATACGATATAGCGGTTGAGATATAATTATAAAAGGACGTACTTAAAAATATTATTTTTTATTTCATAAAGTGGACTGCATGAAGTAGCCTACTCCAGACAACGTTTGAACTACACTGAATCGTCATATTAAATAAAGGCTAAATCCCTTACCTCATCACGTTAAGGTACACACAACCGACGAGAAGAGACGAGAGCGACCAGCCATGTCAGACCGCACACAGGTGGAGCCACCGAGAGAGAACAACTCGACATTAATGCTAGAACCAACTATCCTCTTTTAATAGATCTTAAATTTTCCAATCTGCTCTGTGACGTCAGCAACTATTAGCTTCGGTCGTCCTAGAACGAATGCATTTGTTCACTGCCATAAGGCTAAAGGAGAAGAAGGGAATGAGATCACCTCATTCAATGGATGCCAACGAGATGCCACGATTTGAACGAATTAATTTACAATCCCCGTGATTTATTTCATTTTTCAATTAGAAAACAACAATATATGTAGAAGTACTGCTTAAATGAAAGTCGAGTGATTGATAAACGCCACAATTTTTTTTCTTTTCGATTCGCTGATCATTAACTCACGATCAGAGAAAAAAAAGTTTTACCTTTTTAGAAGAATTCATAATAGTCAGTGGTATAAATGACCTTTTTATCAAATTATTAACATCCGGCTGAAACTTCGTAAATAGCTTCATCTCATCGTAGTCTACAAATATTTTATTTATTTAAATTCTCGGAATTGAGGGATTTTTAATATGGAGGTCGGCAAACTTTGTTTGTTTAAATAGGTACTACAAATTCATAAATTTTCTTTCCACTTGAACCGTAAGATAATATGGTCACAAAATCGATAAAAAAGGTGCCCTACAACAGTACTACGCCGTTTGGCCTATATAACCTCGTTATTTTGCCAATTCGGAGGAGTAGGTCACGCCAAACGTATCAATATTTATGAAGTTACCTTTTTTCTGGACTATGTGCTCAAATGATCTTACAATTCAAGTGTAAAGCAAAAGGGTATATATGAATTTTTAATACCTAATTAAATAGACTCTTTTGCCTCCTGTCCCGAAACTTAAAAAATAGAAATTACAAAACCATTATCCTACCTACGGTTCTTTGTGGATGAGAAACGTGGCCGCTTACATTAAGGGATAAGCAGCGTCTTAAGGTTTTAGAAAACAAAGTATTGCGCAGAATATTCGGACCGAAAAAAGACGAGTCAACCGTTGAATATAGGTGGTTACACAACGC